TCACGAGGAAAGGAGGCTGCCCTGTTGCTGAAAAGCCGTCAGGTGGTCTTACTCCCTGCCTCCCATGCCCCTTGTGGGGTCCGGTAGCTTGGCCTTTGCACAGGCTGCACCTTGGGCCCAGATCACCCTTCCCTCTTCTCTTTGTCCCCCCTACCTCCTCCCCAACTCCCGTGTCACCTTCTCCAGGAGGCCTCCTGTGATGTCCTCCAGAGCATCACAACTTCTCCCCTCCTAGAGCAGACAGAGGTTGACCAACTGCCACCGTAGGTAACTGAGTATCAGTGGCCGTGGTTAATATTTCCTGTTTGCTTCTCATGGCTGGGCCAAGCACCTTGCACAGATCATTCCATTCAGTCCACACAGCTACCTTAACGATAGGTACCACTGCTGTCCTTACTTTGCAGGTGAGGAAACTGACGGTCAAGAGAGAAGCTCTTCATGCCTTTTGACTGAAGCCAGAAAGAAGAAGAAGAAGAAATAAAAGGCCAACACGGTGTCATCTCAGCACACTCTGCACTCAGACCTCCTGCCACTGCCTTTCCTAGTGGTGGGGGCTCTTCTAACCTCCCGGGCTCGCCCCCTGTGCCCTGGGCTCTCTCTTACAGTCTGCGTGTGTGCACTGTAAGACTTGTGGCTCCTCAGTAAAGGGCCACATCTTTTCTGAGCACATCTTTCAGACCTATTGAGAATGGAGAAATCTCCCTGCTCCTCTCATTTGCTTCCAAAAGCTCTAAAAGGCTTCTTGCCACTTAGATCCTGGGTTGGCTGCTGTTTCTGAAGGTGTTTCTGCTACGGGTTGCTCCTTGTCCCTGTGCTTGGTGGGTGAGCAGCTGTGGGGGCTCCTGTGGCCCCCCAACCTCCACTGGTAAAGCCAGTAAATTGACCCCCTGGGTAAATCTAGTCTGAAGTACAGGGACAATCCTGCCCCAGGAAGCAGAGCCAAGGAGGTGGTTTCTTTGGGTGACTACTTTTGGCTCTTTTAAAACTTAGACATTTCAAAATGACTTTGTCATTTTTCAAAATTTTCTTAGCATGCAAGGAGACCAAATGGCAAAGGCATGATTATAGATTTAAATAGTTTTTGACACCTTTTTTGCATAGTTTCAAAATGTGTGGACAGTTTCAGATGTGAAACTCCATCTCACAAAGGAGGAACTATGGCCTGATTCCTCAACTTCCAGGAGAGATGCCTTGTCCCACAGTTTTCTCGTGGGCCAGGGTGAGTCAGATTTGCTAGGACACATTATAAGGGGCTGAAATGTTCCCCCCAACAAGAGTCATATGTGACTGTGTTTGGACATAGGGTTTTTTTTTTTTTTTTTTGAGACAGAGTCTCACTCTTTTGCCTGGGCTAGAGTGAGTGCCATGGCGTCAGCCTAGCTCACAGCAAACTCAAACTCCTGGACTCAGGTGATCCTTCTGCCTCAGCCTCCCGAGTAGCTGGGACTACAGGCATGCGCCACCATGCCCGGATAATTTTTTCTATATATTTTTAGTTGTCCGAGTAATTTCTTTCTATTTTTTTAGTAGAGACAGGGTCTCACTCTTGCTCAGGCTGGTTTTGAACTCCTGAGCTCAAACAATCCGCCTGCCTCGACCTCCCAGACTGCTAGGATTACAGGCATGAGCCACCGCGCCCGGCCTGGACATAGGGTTTTTAATGAGGCAATTAAAGTAAAATGAGGTCATCAGGGTAGACCCTAATACAATCTGACTGGTGTCCTTGAAAGAACAGGGGGTTAGGACACAGGCACACAGGGAAGGCCGTGGGGGGACACAGCGAGAAGGCAGCCATCCACAAGCCAAGGAGAGAGGCCCCCCCAAGAAACCAGTCTTGCCGACACCTTGATCTCAGACTTCCAGCCTCCAGAACTGTGAGAAAATAAATTTCTGTTTAAGCCACCCAGTCTGTGGTATTTTGTTATGGCAGCCCTAGAAAAATGATACAGCTTTCACACCTTGATGGATGCCACAGATAGTTTAATCTATGGCTTTCTGTGATCTTAAATCTCTCGTCAAGCCAGAAGTGTCTTAATAAATATTGTTCTGAAAAGACTGGCAAACCGGCGCTTACAGAAAAGCACACTTCATACGTGCAGGCTCGTGTTCCGCAGCTCCCTTTGAAAGACTCCTCTGCTGGGGTAATCTCGAACCGCCGAGAAGACAAGCAGGGAGTCAGTCTTGCTGAGATTTTTACCTGTGGTTCTAGGAATGCAGAGGCATGCGAGTGCTCAGGCTTTGCATAGACCACTAAGCCACTTCTAAGAACAAGGCTACCTGAGGCATTTTGCAAAAATACATATGTGCCGAGGCTTTTCCTCTGCACGCTTACCTCGATTCTTGTTGCCAACACCTTGCACCTTCTGAGGGGACCAGCGTTTGGGTTTGGCAAGAATTTTATGTTGCAAACCACGTGTGATCATTCCAAGGAATTTCAATCGCATTTTACATTTTTTTCCTAAGCAAATGAAACACGAACCTGGTGTGGTATGGTAGAAAAAGGGCCGTGTTCTCTGTGGTAGACCACATTCATTTCGAGTACCAGCCTCTCAGACTCTGGCTTGCCACTCACCAGGAAGGGAACAATGGCTTTCTTGGTTCCACTCCCCTCTTTTCCTCCAACTTGCACATGAGTATCTGGCTAGCACCAAGTTACGGGTTTCCTTCTGTGAGAATTGCATGGACTGATAAAGTCCCATCCCAGGAAGAAAACAAGATGATGTCTTCCCCTCCAGCTCATAGTTCCAGTTGAGGAGGGAACACATGCTGTAAATTATAGGCAGTGAGAAGTGACCACACTGACCACTGCAAGTGGCCTGGCTGTGGGAACAATTTGCTGGTGAGGATGGTGGTTCTTCTAGCATCAGACTCTAAGGCAATGTCCAAACGGTACCAAGAGAGGATATGTTGCCACCTCTCTGGCTTGGGCGAACGGTGTGGACAGTTAATCTGGACAATTTAAACCTTTATGTGGATGGATCATTTGGATGAAATCTACCAGGAAATTGCCAAATTTCACGTGGCCCTCAGAAATTAAATCTCAATATTATTATTATCCAGTTCGAGGTTCCGGAGGGCTCTGAGTGCCTTTGACTGAGGGGAAGGAGTGGAAAAACCTTTTCAGATGAGCTCTTCTGAGTCTTGGTGCAAGCTAAGGCCCTCTCTGAGACTGCCCCTGTGAAAGCCGACTGATGCCTCTTCCTAACCTGGGGCAGGTCGGCTGGAGCCATGGGGCTCTGTTGGGGGCTGGGCTCCTTCTACTTCTTGATGTCTGCACATGTCACCTTGTCCCCTCACTGTCTTTGCTATTGGCTAGTCCAAAGGCCAGCATTCCATGCTGAAACCCAAGCTATTGCCAGTGGAATGTTTAAAAATTTCCTGAATCTGCCTTCCTGAGTTGATAAAATAGGAAATAATCAACATTCGGAGGGGGTATTGAAAGCAGAGTAAAGGCAGGAAGATCTTTTTTCTGTTTTTCTACAAATATTGCTTCCTTTGCTTGTTAGCAGCCTGGAGGAAAGGCAGCCGGGGAGCAGTTTGCAGCCTCTCACCAGTGGCCAGTGTCTCTGCTGCACCAGCCCAAGGACGCTGCGAGATGAGTGACTCACACATGTCCGCATGATTCAACTTCACTGAAATTCCCTCGGCTGCCAGTAAAGAAGCACTTGAAAACACTTTAATTTAAAGCTTGGAATGGGTGTTAATGACTTGCTTTCTTCTTCTTGTCCCTAAATCCTCCCTCACGACTCCCAACACACACACACACATCTTTGTCAAATTTTTAAATTTTGGGGACCCGGAAACACAGAAGCTCTGTGCATTCACAATAGCATTCGTTGCAACAAAGTGGCTGGCAAGCCCTCTGCATTCCCCTGCTCACTTGGCTGTAGGAATAAATAATGAGTCACAGATACTATTTGGGTGCTTGAGAGAGTTTTTAGCCAGAAAATTAATTATTCCCCCATCACATCGCACTGCGTCCCAGCTCTGCCAAGCCACCAAGCCACACTTTGCGGGCACTGGTCAGAGTGCGTGCCCTGACACACTGCAATGCCTTTGTGACATTTTTATGTTATTATTTTTGTTTGTTTAAGCACAGCCCTCTTTTACCACTAAAGATACACAAAACACACATGCACACACACACACATACTCACACGCTCACAGCTCAACCACAGCTGTGCACATTTCAAGACGCTGGTTGCAAAATGTAGACAGGTTTTCCACCTTAGCCGTTCCCATCCTAAGCGTGCAATCTAATGACTTAAGCCGTGGGAATGCTCGACTTAGGAAACTTCATCATTCTTTTCAAGAGGGACCTCTGTATGCCGCAACTTGCTTGCTTTCTCTCGTGAAAGATGCCAGTTGCCTCTTTGCTTTGAGGCTACGAGGAAAAACACAGCACAGCCCCATCCTGATGATTTTAACGTAACCAAGTCTGCCCAGCTCCTGGACACTCTGCCTTTTGGAGACAGATGAGCTGGGTGGCCACTTTGGCCCTGAGGTCCCCAGCCGGTGGAAGGCGTAGCCGTGAGCCCCCGCCTCCTGCCCCACGCTGGCACCAGCCCTCCTGGCTCCCTGCATGCGTCTGCGGAGCCCCCGGGCAGGCTGCATTCTGGGCCACACAGCGTGCTGAGTTAAGGATAATTCAGACACAGTCACTCTGGGCTGCAAACTAAAACCCAGGGAGCTTCGTGCGAGCTTTACAATCCCTAGGACTTTAAACGAGACCAGCACAACTTACTAAGACTTGACAAGGTTCTCACGCACCGACCGAACACACCAACAGCTTAACTGAGTATTTATTAAAACATTTCTGAAGAGCTGCCATCTGATGAATAAGTAATCCAATAGCCTTGTAATCATACGCCTCGGTGTGAATTCCTCCCCCAGAACAGACAGGGGCCGGCAGGCACCTCTGCCCCGGGTGAACCAGGCTGCCATTTCATTGCATGCAAAGCTGAGCAAAAGGAGACATTAAAAGACCAGCGCGTACTCACCTCTCATGAAGCACTGTGGGTACGAAGGAAATGACTCAAATATGCTGTCTGAAGCCATCGCTTCCTCCCGAAAAGGCACCCTCTTCTGAAGGCGGGGGACTCAATGATTTCTTTTACCTTAGGAGCGAAAACCAAGAAAGGTCACTGTTTTTGCTTCACCCCCACAGCCCTACATCTCTCTCTTTCCCCCCTGGACACCTCTGGGACTCCCCAAGCCCTAGGAAAAAATGTACCTTAGTGAAAACAAATATTCAAATTGTTAAAGATTAAGGAAAAAAAAGCAGCGCCGCCTTGGCTGTGGGTTGACGATGCTTACCACTCTGCGAAACCCTGTGGTTTGCATTCAGTGTGATTCGTCCTGCCTGCTGACCACTATGCCAGGCTCAGACTTCTGACACTGCCAGGCTACCCAACTTGTGGTTCTGTGGTTGTTTATGAGGCCCAAAGAAGTTTTCACACAACCCAAATTACAAATTTAACTGTTCCCCTTTCCACAGCCCATCTCCATTGGCTCTTGTCGGTCACGTGACATCAGTGATGTCAATTTTTTTTCTTTCTGAGCAATGCCCTTCCTTCCCTCCACCTGCCCTCCCCCAGGCCATGCAAGAAAATAGCCCAGGAGAGTTTGCAAGAGAGGGAATGTAGAAAAAAGTGACTCAGTCTCTTATTATATCTCAATGGTCTTTGCTGATTTAGTGCAACTCGGCTCCTGTTGTTGTTACTTGTGGTTTTTGGAACTACTGATTATTTTGATAAAGATTTCATTGCTGCTTATTCAATAGTAATTCAACGCTGGCATCAAACCGCTGCTCGGGCAGGATGTGGATCCCATCATTTAAAAAGCCAGGCATCAGCTCTGGGAGAGCGCAGTCCTTGGTAAAGACTGTAATGGCATAAGTGAAACTATAAAAGGGAAAATAAATAAAAGGAAATGTTTCGGTGAGAGTCTGACCCTAAAAGGGGCTGACAACTTACTGGTGTTTTAAAGCCTGGAAAAAGGAAAGCATTTTAATTTTGAAATAAAAAGACCATTTTAATAAAACACAAATTATGTGGTTTTATTCCTCCTGAATGGACATCTTTAGCATGTATCTCTCTCGGTAAATAGATAAAATCGTAGTAACACACACACACACACACACACTCTCTCTCTCTCTTTCTCTCTCTCTCTGTCTCCAATTAGGAAGCTAATGGAAAACAAAGAGAGTTTCTGTATATTGGGGCAAAGCAGTGATTACTTTGCAACTGTTTATTTTTGTTTTCACCTATGAAGGTTTGAGGCATTGCCTTTCCCTAGCTCAGGGGTCTCTAGCTCAGCCTATGGTGAGTTGTATAATTATGTCATTATATATTACAATGTAATAATAATAGGAATAAAGTGCACAATAAATGTTACGTGCTTGAATCATCCCCAAACCATCTCCTCCCACCCCTATCCATGGAAAAATTATCTTCCATGAAACTGGTCCCTAGTGCCAAAAAAGTTGGGGACCACTGCTCTAGTTCGATTCAAATCAATAGGCTAATCGAAACCTGTAGATAAAGCTACACTTTGAGCACATTAAGAAGACTTCACAAAAGGTAGGAAGACCAAAGGAGATGCTTCTCTGGGGCAAAACCCTTCCCCTGGGCTGACTAATGAATATTACACAGCACAGCCTCTACCTTCGAACTACAAGCCTGTTTGGAGGGTCTAAAAACAGGACAATTTTGCATGTCGGCAAACCATTCTTTTTCCTGTCCATTGGTTTTGCCTTCTGACAAAATGTCATTCTTTTTGTAGTTCCAAAATTAAGACCTTCCCTTCGTTATCAATTACCTTATTTATTTTGCTCCATTCTGCCTACGTTTTCCACGGCCCTCTGTACACGTGAAGTTTCGATGCACACAGTCAAGAGAACCCATGCGATGATGGGTTCTAAATGCCAACCCTGGATTCTAAGCGGCAAAGATGAGCAAAGTCTGAACTCTCAGAATACTCCCTCAGTTTCATTTTTTTCCTGCTTAATTTTGCACACACAAAGATCCACGACAATATTGCCTTCAGTGGCACGGGTCTTTCAAAAGGAATAGACATGATTTTTACAGAGTCCTGTTTTGACTGAAGCAGGAATTGAAACTCAAGAGACTGCTTTCTCTTAGACCTGTGAGAAGTTAGCTTGCCACATGTTGACACTTAGCTAAAGTTTAAAAGAATAATAATGGCTGCATTTCTTTTATGAAGCTTATTAATATCTAAGTGCAATGCCTGCTTCCTATTGCTTCTCAGTGCAAATCCCCTGTTAACATAATTAACATTATGTTCCTGCACTATTACACTCCCTAATAAAGTCAAGCCTGAGTTAAACCCCAAATCTGCTTCTTTTTTTCTCTTCTGCACTTAACAGTCCTTGGAAACGTTCTAAGAGCTGAGGGCTGTAACATGCAGCTGCCACTGCACAGTCGACTCAGACTTAATAATGACTTAGCAATTCAAGTGGCGATGTAGATTAATCCTCTGGATGTTTCATTTTAGAAACTCCCCAAATGCTTTTACCCTTAGGTGTCCAGAGGCTTGAAGGGAGCATTTAGATGTGTCAGCTAACTGCCTGAATTCTCAGCTTCTCTCTGTGGGCCTAGCTATAGCTATATATGTACTTTTCTCAGTGGGGTCTTCGTAGGACAGGTTCGGATTTAAAGACTGCTCTAAGGTTGGGGCTTGCCAAGGCCTCACCATGTGCTGTCATTTTCAGAGCTGGGGTTTCGACGGGGCGCCAGGGGGCAGAGTACAAAGGCCTGTGAGCTGGCTCTGAGCTGCCTTCCCCGGTGGGGGTAACGGCCACAGCAGCCGCAGCGTGACTTCACAGCTTGGTGAGGCAACAGTTGGGGCTTTTCTGGGCAACCTCCAGGTCAGGACAATAAGTAAAGTCTCAGCCAGCTGCTGGTGAACTTGGCTTTACCACTTCCCCAGGAGCCCAAGACAAAAAGGCACGTCTGTCATCAATGAGCCGCCTAGAGAAATACTTAATCCTATCTTAACTAGAACTGTTTAGGAGTCTTTAAGTTTGTGCACTGACCCACACCATCTGTCCTAGTTCCTGCAAGTGACTCAGACCCTGGGCTGCTGGTTTGGGAATTGTACCCAAGCGGACTGTGGCTTTGCCAAGTAGTTGAATGACAGTTTTCATCCTTATTCAGATTGGCTATAGCTTCCAAATGCCATTATTGGGGGTAGGGTGGAGGGAGAATATGCTCAGGTGTCTTTTTTAATGGCCCCATAAAAATATCAGCAAAAGTTGAATGACGTATAGGTGCATAACCATGTAATTAATGTATAGACTTCTGTGTGCAGTGCAATCCAATTAAAACACTCTCTGGTGCTTTCATTACATGATTACTGCATGTAATCATGTGTGTCTCTGAACCCCACGTGTCTATTATAAAGTAGATTCTCTGGCCAGAAAATGGAAGCAAAGATGGACCACCCAAATTAGATGTAGTCTAAATTCACAGGAGGACAATGCTGCTCGATTATCTCTGTGTAGCACAGATTTTCACTGTTTTCTAAATCTTAATTTTCTAACAGAAGTGCTATTCAGAAACTTCCATGCTATGCTGACAACGAGCTCAGGGATGATTTTTAAGTTGGGACACAGACATCAAAGCTTCATGGAATGAATATAGCCTGCTCTAGGCAAATCAACGGTTTGAAATGACTGGAGAGCCCTGGTGGCCCAGCTGTTAAAGGTCTCTCCCGGACCCTCATGACTGTGCCCACTCGGCAGAATATCCCTGTTTTGCACAAGTTTCCTGCTTCTTTAGATAAAAGTGCAATTTAAATTGAAGTCTCCACAGACTTTTTTCCATAGGCAAACAATAGTTTCAGTATTTATTTCTTAACCTTCCATAGATGAAGATGCATCATTCTGTGGGGAAACAGGATTTCAAAAGGAAAAGAGAAAGAAAAAAGAGCAATCACTTGAATGCTATCTAGTGATACAAAGAGCCGCTAATGGTAATTGTTTCAAATGGAAGAGTTTAAACTGCTTTACCCTCTGCACGTGGATTATGGGCTGGGCAGCACTGGCATCACCAGGGAGCTTGCTAGGATCCAGCATCTTGGGATCCTCTCCAGGTCTACTGGATTAGAATCCATAATTTTATGAGATCCCCAGGTGAGTCCTACACACATTAAAGTTTGAGGAGAATTGCCCCGTGGGAAGCCTTGCATATGTTGGAATGTAGTAAAGAAAGAATAATATGGTAATTGTTTACATTCTTCGAGAGGTCTTTTTCCTTTGGGTTTTCTGAAACTTTTCTATTTTGTTGCCTTAGCATATTTTGTAAGTCCTGGATGTTTCTAGACAGCAGAAACCCACAAGAGGCATGGCTCATGTCCTCTAAGGTAGCGTTTTCTTGGATTGTCACTCGGACCTCTCACCTCAAGTGCCGTGTTTGGGCCAAGTTTACAGCTTGAGGTTTGACACACAATGCAGGGAGGCTCCCCGTGCTCTCCATCTGTCTCGCTAGTGGCCACGTGTACATAAACAGAAGGCTTTTTTCCTCCAGGGGCATCAGACTCTCAGTTTTCACCTAGTTTGCTGTTTGGAAACGCATTAATCCTGTGAGTTCTTCCAGACACACAGCACGTGTCCACACAGCAGGCAGCACTGCAGGTGGCCTTGCAGCCCAGCCACGGGCTGTCCTCCTCCAAGAGGGTTACCTGCCCCCACTCTCTAACCACTGCCTTGGGATGTCATGCTCTTCGCTTTGCTCTAAAATAAGGGGCCTGCCCTTAGATTGTACCCCCTTGTAACAGCCACACCTTCCAGGGGCCAGAGATTCCATTTAGACAGGCGCCCGGGAGTGTGGCTGCTCCTCTCTGATGCATCTGGATCCTTTCAGGCCTGCCTTGGGCCAGAAAGCTTGTTTGGAATAGTTTCTCCTTACAGAGTTTTGGCCTTTCTGCATCTGGTGGCATTTGAAACCAGGAGGGTGAAACTGGAAAACTTAAACAAACCCTCTTTGAATGTTAGAAATGTTCAGCATTCGAGGTTTGGTCAAATAATGGAAAACATTCTGAGTTGGTACTGAACTTTCCAGCCAGTTCCTCCAACCTTGAGGCTAATTATAGCATGAGATCCAGGCAGGGAAAGCAAAGGGAAATGAGGAAACTAAAATTACTTAGAGTTAGAGTAGCTGGAATTCATATTAGTTAGATAGTGTAAGATTCAATACTTCAATTTATTTGGCAAATAGTGGTTGGTCTCCCAAGTCTGATCAAAGCACCTGGCTTTGGGGACTTTGGACTCTTATTGTAATTGCTACTTCTTTTCCCCATGGTAGGCAAATTAACAAGCTTTCACATGACTATTTAGAAACCAAAGCATAATACCACCTTTTTCACTGGAGTGCTCTGAGGATCAGTAGCTGTTTGGAC